AGTAGGTTAAGCCTCCACCTGCAGCACTGGTATCCCATATAGATGCAGGTTCATGTTCTAGCTGCTCCTCTTCCAATCCAAATTTCTGCTTTGGCCTAGGAAAGCAGTGGAGGATGGCCCAAGTGCTTGGACCCCTGCACCCACATGGAAGACCCAGAGAAACCTCCTGGTTCCTGGCTTCCAGTCAGCCCAGTTCTGGCCATTGTGGCCATTTGGGAAATGAATCAGTGGAGAGAAGACCTTTCTCTCTCTCGCTCGCTCTCTCTCTCTCTCACTGTCTGTAACTTTACCTCTCAAATAAATAAATAAAATCTTTAAAAAAAAAAGTTTGGTACATTTCAGCATTGAAACCATCCAGTCCTGGGCTTTTCTTTATTGGGAATGTGTTTATTACTGATCAATCTCTGTCTTGGTTATTGGTCTATTTAAGTTTTTTTATGTCTTCATGACTCAATTTTGGGAGATTGCATGTGTTCTGAAATCTATCCATTTCTTCTGGGTTTTCTAATTTGTTGGCATCCAGCCCTTTGTAGTAATTCCTGATGATTCTTTTTATTTCTATGGTATGTGTTGTTACATCTCCTCTTTCATCTCTGACTTTATTAATTTGAGTCTCCCCCCCCTCTTTTGTTTTGGTTAGTTGGGCCAATGGTGTATTAATTTTGTTTATTTTTTCAAGAAACAAGCTCTTCACTTCCCTGACATTTTATATCTTCCCTTGGTTTCAATTTTGCTTATTTCTTCTCTAATTTTAATTATTTCTTTCCTCCTACTAATTTGGGGTTTGGTTTGTTCTTGTTTTTCTAGGTCCTTGAGATACATTGTTAGATAATTTATTTGATGCCTTTCCAATTTCTTGATGTAGGCACTAATTTCTATAAACTTCACTCTTAGCACTGTTTTTGCTTTATCCCATAAGTTTTGATATGTTGTGTTGTCATCTTCATTCATTCCCAGGAATTTTTTGGCTTCTACTGTGGCCCATTGTTCATTCAGGAGCATGTTGTTTAATCTCCATATGTTTGTGTATTTTCTAGAGTTTCTTTAATTAGTTTCCAACTTCATTCCACTGTGGTCAGAAAAGATGCATGGTATAATTAAAATTTTTTGTATTTGTTGAGACTTGCACTATGGCCGTTCCATGCACTGATGAAAATAATGTGTATTCTCTAGCTGTGAGATGAAATGTTCTGTAAATATCAATTAAGTCCATTTGGTTCATAGGGTAGATAAGCTCTGTTGTTTCTTTGTTGATTTTTTTGTCTAGTTATCTGCTCATTGATGAAAATTGGGTGTTGATGTCTCCCATTATTATTGTATTGTAATCTATATCTCCCTTTAGCTCCATTAACATTTGTTTTAAATAGACACTTGCCCTATCATTGGGTGTATATACATTTACTATAGACATGTCTTCCTGTTGAGTTTATCCCTTAATCATTACATAATGCCCTTCTTTGTCTCTGTTATCAGTTTCTGTGTTAAAGTCCATTTTTCTGATATTAGGATGGCTATGCCTGCTCAGTTTTGCATTCTGTTATCATGGAATACCTTTTTTCATCCTTTCACCTTCAGTCTGTGTATATCTTTGTTGGTGGGGTGTGTTGCTTATAGGCAGCAAATAGATGGGTCTTGTTTTTAATACATTCAGGTAGTCTATATCTTTCAATTGGAGAATGTAGGCCATTTACATTCAAGGTTATTATTGATAAGTAATGACTTGGTCCTGCTGTTTTTTCATATGCATTCGTATTGATCTCTTTGGATTTGCTTTTTACTTTTACAAGAGATTTTCTGCCTTCACATTATTTCATAATGATAACTGCTGTTTTCTATTTCTGTGTGTAGCACACCCTTAACCATCATTTGTAAAGCTGGACAAGTGGTGGCAAATTCAGTTTCTGTTTGTTTTGGAAGGTCTTTATTTTACCTTCATTTATAAATGAGAGCTTTGCATGGTACAGTATTCTGGATTAACAGTTTTTTTTCTTTTAATATTTAAACTGTCTCTCCATTCTCTCCTAGCCAATAGGGTTTCTGATGAAAAGTCAGCTGTCAGTCTAATTGGAGATCTTCTCAAGATAATCTGGTGTTTCTCTCATGCATATTTTATAGCCTTTTATTTACATTTTAGTGTTGAAAGCTTGACTATAATGAAGATCATTTCTGGTCAAGTTTATTAGGAGTTCTATGTGCTTCCTGAATTGGACGTCCTTTTCTTCCTTCAAATTAGGGAAGCTTTCTATTATTTCACTGAATATCCCTTCTAATCCATTCTCTTTCCACCCCTACAGGAAATCCTAAGACATGTGTGTTAGATAGTATCCCATAAATCTTGAACACTATTTTCAGTTTTTCTAAATTTTTCTTTTTCTTTTTTTTTCGTTTTGACTGAGATATTTCCGAAGATTTGTCTTTTAGCTTGGATATTCTTTCTTCTGCCTCACCTAGTCTGTTGTTAAGGTTTTCCACTGTGTTTTTATGTGACATATTGAATTCTTCATTTCTAATATTTCAGATTAATTTCTCTTCAATATCTTTGTCTCTCAGCAAAATTTTTCATCCATGTCATGTATGGATTTCTTTAACTCATGAATTTTCTTCTCTTTTTTGTGTAATCATATGATTATTCTTTTGAATTCCCTTACAGGCTTTTCATCAATCTCTTTGTCTTCACATTATAATAGTAAAGTGTTGTATTCCTTTGGGGGAATCATACTGTCTTCCTTGTTCATGTTTCTTTATTTCTATATTTATTTTTAAGCATTTATGGAACCACTTTTTGGTTTTCTCCTCTGATGGCTTTTATCTTTGAAATATGCCTTTGTGGCTTGGTGGAGTATCTGCCTCTTCAGTAAATATTCAAAGATGTGTGCTGAGTGGGGCCAGAGGGCTCCAGTCTGTGCACAGGAGTGGTGCAGAGTCCAGGGTGACACCCAAGTTGGGCATGGTAGATCTCTGTTGTCAGCAGGGTGGAGGGTATGATCACATCAGTTGGTGTGATCACTGCCTCACCTGCTTTCTGCCAAGGTTATCTGTGCCCAAGGCAACCCAACAGTGACTACACACCCCACCCACACAGGGGCATGAACTGTACCAAGCATCTGCTCCCCTAGTCACAGGGAGTAGGGGGGTCCACTCTGAGTCCTGTTTGATCCTGTTCCATCCACAGAGAGAGTCAAGGCATTCTCAGAGCCTGCTGGCTCTCAGTGTTACACCTAGACAATGTGAGTATGGTGGCTCATGATGGAGTTAGAGGAGGGGAGCACGTTGAAGTGGGCACCCCGCCCCCTGCCAACCTTCCACGCCAGACTCAAAGTCCGTAGGGACCATGGACTTACCTCTCAGAAATAATCCTCTGTTTGTAGTGCACGAGCCAAGACTGCCTGCTCTTGCCTTATCATGATGGCACCTGCTCCCTGCTTGTTGCCAGGAGCCCTTGTTGGAGGAGTATGGGAAGCAGGCAGTGTGCTCTCTCTTCACAGGGTTAGGTGAGCACCACGCCCCCCAGCCCCGCTATGGCTGCAGGCCAGATGCAAAGTCAGTGTGGTCAAGGTTCTACCTGAGGCAGTATCAGCAGTGACACAGTTGCTGCAGACTCCTCTCACTTCTCTCGAAGAAGCTCGCATCTCCTTCTGACTGCATGAGTCCTAGCTGGGGTTTGATGCTCTGTGGGCATTAGGGAGGGGAAAGAAGGCGGCTTCCCTCCCCCAAGCCCAGCGGTTGCTCAGATCCCAGTCAGCTCCCCCGGCTGAAGTAAAAGTCAGGGCGTGACCGTGAAATTCCCTCTCAGCTAAAACTCGGAGCAGCGGGGTGCGCAACAGTTTCTTCCCACCTTGATGTGGTAAGATGGCGGCTCGCAGCTGGCAGCCGGCTGCACCGTGCCACTGGCTGCAGCCCTGTCTTGGTCTTCTTTCCATTTGCCCCACAGAGTCTTTGTTGTTTTTCTACTTCTTCACTGAAAATTTTCCATCACTCAGACCCCTGGAAACGTGCTCCTTCTTTTGCTGTTTTCATATCCCAGCGTAGCTGAAGTTACTGTGATCATCTTGGACGTCCTTAATACATTTTTTAAAAAGATTTATTGTCTTTATTTGAAATAATTACAGAGAGAGGTAGAGAGAGAGAGAGAGAGAGTTCTTCCATCGCTGATTCACTCCCCAGATGACCGAAGTGGCCAGAGCTGATCCAAAGCCAGGAGCCAGGAGCCAGGAGCTTCTTCCAGGTCTCCCGTAAGGGTACAGGGGCCCAAGGACTTGGGCCATCCTCCACTGCTTTCCCAGGCCATAGCAGAGAGCTGGATCCAAAGTAGAGCAGCCAAGGCTTGAACCAGCACTCATAAGGGATGCCAGTGCAACAGGCTGGAGCTTTAACTCACTGAGCCACAGTGCCAGCCCCTACATTTTTTAAAGGTAGGAGACATTAATGGCATTTTTGTATGATGATGGGAAAAAACACAATACAGATGGAAATGTGATAATTCAAGAGCGGAAGGTGGGATTTTTCTGAAAGACATTCCAAGGAAGTGAGAAGGGATGGAACCTGGAGTGTTGGTGGAAGGGCTGCCCTTGGCTAGGAGTAAGGACAGTGCTCTCAGTCACAGGCGAAAGGGGGCACAGGTGTGCTGGCTTGCAGGGCCTCAGAGAATAGCTCTTGAGCGTCTGCTCCCTATTTTTTGGTGTCAGGCTTAGCCGTTTGTCACTTCAGGTAAAACAGAATATGTCATCAAGCCTCATTACTCCTGGATTCCATGTTTAAGAACTGGTCCCCTGGCTAAAATTCATTTATAACCCCAAACCAGTACCGGCAGGATTTTTGCCATCATCTGTAGACACGTGCACACGCAGAGTGGCCAAAACTTGAAAAAGTGCTCTGTGTCCTTCCCCAGGCGGCACTCGGCCACCTGTTTCAGCTCTAACGCTGTTGGCTCATGTCCTTTGCATGGTGTGGTTTAGCGCCAATTTTCATGTGTTTCTGCTTTTTGTTGCTGGCTCACATAGGTGCTGAAGTGCCATCTGGTGCTCCCAAGTGCGAGAAGGCTGTGATGTGTCGTGTGGAGAAAATCCCACGTGTGAGAGAAGCTTCAATCAGCTGTGAGTCATGCGGCTGTTGGATGTGAGTCCAGTGTTAATGAATCAGCAGTACATACTAAATGCTGTGTCTTCAAACAGCCACACACAGAAACCAGAATTGTGTACTGATCATTTCACAAAAGAGTCGTGACCAGAGACCTGCTGGATCCTAACCTGTATTTCCTCTCAGAGGAGTAGTTCAACATTTGCTAGTTCAGTCCTTGGGGAGTATTGTGGGTTGAATTTTGTCTCTCCCACCCCGGCCCCCAGCCAAATTCACATGTTGAAATCCTAACTGCCAGTACCTCGGAATATGGATGGCAATGGAGATGGGGGGGGGGGGGTCTCTAGAGAGGTATTGAAGTTAACATGAGGTCATCTTGATGGTTGCTAGTGCTAATCAAATATAGCTGGTGTCACAGGAAAAGGGGATGAGGGCGCAGACGGACCCGGGAGACAGTGACCATCTGCAAGCCTAGGAGAGAGGCTTCCTAAGGAGGTGGCCCTGCCAGCCCCTGGCCGTCAAGCTTCAGCTTCTAACACTGGAAGGTGATGTGGTTGTGTGGTTGAATCCTCCCAATCTGTGCTGTTTTGTTAATGGCAGCCAGGTAACCTGGTAGAGGGCCCTTGATAGGATCTGACCACCATGAACAGTTGATAGTTTGCCAATCCACAAAATAAAGAGCTTCACACACATCTCTTTGCAGAAGGAGCCTCTTTAGGGCCAGAGATGATGATGACAATTATCTTTTTCCCCTTTTAAAATATATTTATTTATATATATATATATATATATATATATATATATATATATATATATTATCCAGGTCCACCACATGGGTGGCAGGGGAGCAAGCATTTGAGCTATCATCTTCTGCCCACCAGGATGTATCGGCAAGAAGCTGCATCAGAAATGGAGCAGATGGGGCCGACACTGTGGCATAGCGGGTAAGGCCACCACCTGCAGTACCAACATCGCACATGGACACTGGTTCCAGTCCCAGCTGCTCCACTTTCAATCCAGCTCTCTGCTGTGGCCTGGGAAAGCAGTAGAAGGTGGTCCAAGTCCTTGGGCCCCGGCACCCACGTTGGAGACCCAGAAGAAGCTCCTGGCTCCTGGCTTTGTTTCAGCACAGCTCCAGCCGTTGAGGCGGATTGAAGAGTGAACCAGCATATGGAAGACCTCTCTTCTCTCTCTCTCTCTCTCTCTCTGCCTCTGCTTCTCTCTGTGTGTAACTCTGACTTTCAAATAAATAAATAAATCTTAAAAAAGAAAAGAAAAGAAATGGAGAAGTTGGAACTCAAACCAGCACTCCAATAGAGGATGCAGATATTCCAAGCCACCACCTACCCTGCTGTGCCCTAACTCTCACCCCAATGGCAAATTAGTTGCACAAAAGAAGAACAAGAGTATTATTCAGCTTTTCATCTCTATAACAAATACCCGAGAGAAAGTACTCATGAAGGAAAGAAGGTGATTTGGGCTCACAGTTTTGAGCGTCCATGATGGCCCCGTCAGTGTGGCACAAGGGTGCTGGTTGACGGAACATGCGTGGAGGAAGGACATGTAATGTCACTGGAGTAAATACCACCATGACTCCAACCAGTCCCCTCTTGTCTTCCAGAGGACCACGTGCAACTGTCCCTGTCTTTTGTTCCCTTTACCCCTGTCTTCTCTTTCTTGTAGCCTCCTTAAAAATCTCAAAGGAGGGGCCAGTATTATGACACATGGGTTAAGCTGCCACTTGCAAGGTCACTGGCATACCATATTGGACTGACAGTTCAAGTCCCAACTGCTCTGCTTCCAGTCCAGCTCCCTGGTAATGTTCCTGGGAAATCTGTGGATGGAGACCCAAGTGGCTTCAGCCAGGACCAGCCCCAGCTGTTGTAGCAATTTGAGAAATGAACCAGTGGATGGAAGCTCTCTTTGTCTGTTTCTCTCTCTCTCTCTCTGGCTTTCAAATAAATAAAATAAATCCTTTTTTAAAAATCCCAAAGCGGCTGGCGCTGCGGCTCAATAGGCTAATCTTCCACCTGTGGCGCCGGCACACCGGTTCTAGTCCTGGTCGGGGCACCGGATTCTGTCCCGGTTGCTCCTCTTCCAGGCCAGCTCTCTGCTGTGGCCTGGGAGTGCAGTGGAGGATGGCCCAAGTGCTTGGGCCCTGCACCCGGCTGGGAGACCAGGAGAAGCACCTGGCTCCCGGCTTCAGATCAGCACGGTGCTCCGGCTGCAGCGCGCCAGCCGCAGCAGCCATTGGGGGGTGAACCAACAGAAAAGGAAGACCTTTCTCTCTGTCTCTCTCACTGTCCACTTTGCCTGTGGGGGAAAAAAAAATCCCAAAGCACCCTCGTTCCGCAGGACAGTAGTTTTGGAGGTGTGAGTGTGCTACCTCCTCATCTACTGATAGATTAAGCTTTCTCTTTCTTTCATCCTCAAATCTTGTCCATGTTATTTTGACCTGGCACAACTAAGGACCAAGCATTCTATAGCAAAATAATCCAATGTACTTAATGAGACGGCTATCACTTATATCAGAAATAAAATGTTTTCTTCCACTTTGCATTTAAGGTATTTGCCTTTTAATAAATTACTATTTATCACAAAAATAATATAGGCATTTTCCTTCAACTCACATTAGGTTTTAGTAAAACACCAACTGCTACTGTGTTGGGAGTTTTTATTGCAAGGATCCAGAGAATGAAAAAGAGAACTTAGGAAGCAGTTCTTTGGAAGGAGAGAAATTAGAATATTTCTGAGGCTCTGGGAACCTCAGAGGTGGGAACTCATGCACAATCTCTTTTAGGCGCCACCCTTGAAATAATTTGGCACAAACTGCCTATTCTGTGTGTGTGTGTCTGTTAGGGATTTTTTTTTATGAACCTTTTAAAATTTTTTTTATTTGACAGGTAGAGTTATAGACAGTGAGAGGGAGAGAGACAGAGAGAAAAGTCTTCCCTCCATTGGTTCACTCCCCAAATGGTGGCGACTGCTGGAGCTGGGCCGATCCAGAGCCAGGAGCTTCCTCCAGGTCTCCCATACAAGTGCAGGGGCCCAAGGACTTGGGCCATCTTCTACTGCTTTCCCAGGCCATCAGCAGAGAGCTGGATCGGAAGTGGGGCAGGCGGGACTAGACCTGGTGCCCATATGGGATGCTGGCTCCACAGGCAGAGGATTAACCTCCTGTGCCACAGCACCGGCCCCTGAACTTTTTAAATTGAAGTATAACACATACACTGCACAGATGTCAAGTGTACAGCTCCATGTATTTTTACCAACTGAACACACACATGTTACTTGCTCTCAGGTCAAGTCACAGAACATTATCCATGCCCTGGAAATCATTATACCCCTTCTCATAACATATACATATTAAAACATATCTACTGTTCTGATTTCTACCACTTAAATTTGTTTTACTTATTTTCAATCTTAATTTAAATATAATCATATAACATGCTTTAATTCCTGGGAGATGATCCTTATTGTTGCATATAATAAGTAGCTTTTTTCTGATTATTATATTCTAGGCTATGCACACTACACCTTTGATGGACATTTGGGTTGTTTCCAATTTAGAGATATTATAAGCAAAGCTACAAATAAATATTCTTGTACATTTTTTTTCAAGTTTTTATTTTCTAAAGGTAGAACTGCTGAGTGATAAGGTAAGTATATTTTCAGATTTAGTAGATTATTGCCAAAAAAATTTCCAAAGAAGCTGTACTTTTATATTCTACCCATAGACAATTAAAGTTCCAGTTGCTCCAGATTCTTGCCAGCACTCCATGTTATCATGTAAGACTTTGTATCTTTACGGTTATTTGGGTAGTGTTATCTCACTGTGTGCATTCCCCTGGTGACTAATGGTGCTGAACACTCTCTTTTGTTATGCTCATCGATCAGTTAGTCACCCTTCTATGTGACTGCCAGTTTAAGCATTTTGTCTGTCCTGTTAATGGGTTTTGTGTCTTTCTTAATTCCCAGGAGAGTATTTGATTGGTCTTAGCACTGAGTTATGGATGTGGCCAGTTGTGGTTGGCATGCTTTCAGAGTTATGCAAAGTAGTAATAGTGAACAGTTTCCAAAGGAAGATCCCCTGGGCAGGCAGAAACTAATGATAGATGCTTTATAATAGTTGTAAGTTAAAAACTGATCTCTGTGCTTCATTCTTTTAAAATGACAGTATCCCAGAGCTATCATAAACAATATTTTGATTCCTTGCTTGAATAGAAATCTTGTTATCCAGAACATCCTCTTGTTCTTACTAATTCTAAAATTATTTCCTTCAAATATTAGGATCAAATAAGAATTAGGGATAATGTTGGTCAAACCTTATACCAGTTCACATCTAATAGGCGGAGAAAAAGAGAGAGTGTGTGTGCTCTTATCCACTGGTTCACTCTCCAAATTCCTCTAACATCGGGAGCTGGACCTGAGGGTGAAGCTGGAAAACAGGAATGCAATCCAGGTCTCCCCGTTACTTGGCTATCAACACACTGCCTCTCAGGGTCTGCACTGGCAGGAGGCTAGAGTCAAGGATTGAACCCAGGTACTCCAATAAGAGATGATGCATTTTGACTGCTAGGCCAAACTCTCACTCGTCTATTTTGTCCTAACGCCTTATGTTAATGTAACACTGTATAATTAACAGTATTTTTCATTCATTATCTCAACCCTGTCTTAAGTAATTCTTTTTGTTTAAATTATTTATTTATTTGAAAATCAGAGTTAGAGGGAAGGAGGAATAGAGATCTTCTATCCACTGGTTTACTCTGCAGATGTCCACAACGGCTGGCATTGGGCCAGGTTGAAGTCAGCCAGGAGCTTCATCCAGGTCTCCCATGTTGGGTGGCAGGGGCCCAAGTAGTTGGACCATCTTCTGCTGCTTTCCCAGGTCATTAGCAGGGAGCTGGATCAGAAGTGGAGCAGCAGGAACACGAACCAGTGCCCCATGGGATACTTGTGTTGGAGAGGCTGGCTTTACCAGCTACGCCACAGTGTCAGGCCCTTAAGTAATTCTTTATAATACAAAAAGTAAATTAAAGCATTCTTCTTTTAAAAAATTAATACATTATAGATAAGGCTACAGTTAGTTCCTTTTGACCTTAATTCCCCCAAAATTCCGTATCCTTCTCCTGTGCCAGAAGTAACTTTTTTTTTCTTAAAAATTTATTTCTTGCCAGCACCGCAGCTCACTAGGCTAATCCTCCGCCTTGCGGCACCGGCATACCGGGTAGTCCCTGTCGGGGCGCCAGATTCTGTCCCGGTTGCCCCTCTTCCAGGCCAGCTCTCTGCTGTGGCCAAGGAGTGCAGTGGAGGATGGCCCGAGTACTTGGTCCCTGCACCCCATGGGAGACCAGAATAAGTACCTGGCTCCTGGCTTTGGATCAGCGCAGTGTGCCGGCCGCGGCGGCCATTGGAGGGTGAACCAACGGCAAAAGGAAGACCTTTCTCTCTCTGTCTCTCTCTCTCACTGTCCACTCTGCCTGTCAAAAAAATATTTATTTATTTATTTGAGAGGCAGAGTTACAGATTGAGAGAGGGAGAGACAGAGAGAGATCTTCCATCTGCTGGTTCACTCCCCAAATGGCTGCACCAGCCAGGGTTGAGCCAGATCAAAGCCAGCAGCCAGGAGCTTCTTTCTGGTCTCCCACATGGATGCAGGGGCCTAAGCACTTGGACCATCTTCCACTGCTTGTCCAGGCACATTAGCAGGGAGCTGGATGGGAAGCGGAGCAGCCAGAATACAAACTGGTGCCCATATGAGATTACCAGTGCCTATATGAGATGCCGATGCTACAGGTGGTGGCTGCACATGCTACGCCATAGTGGCAGCCCCAGAAACAACCATTTTTATGTCTGATATCCACTGTTCACTTACCCAGTAAATAGTATATATATATATATATATTGTTCTATAACTTTCTCTTTTTCTTCAACACGTTGTCTTATAATCTGTGGTGTTACCTACTTTATCTAATTCATACATTTTAGCAGCATTATAAAAATATGCAGTATCAATATACCATGATTTATTTCAACGATTTACCTATTAAAATTAATTATGTTGTTTAGATTTTATCTTGTTTCCTATAACTTTTTTCCACATAATAGGGAAAACATTCTTACAGACAAGACTGACCAACAAAGCTCACCGTGGAAAAAGAAAAAAAAAAAACAAGAACATCACACTTCCAGTCAATGTGTTTGTGTTTATTCTACAGTAAAACTGTGATGTTCCTGAGCACTGGCTGGCACATGTAGTAGGGAACACCCTCCTGTGATTCTGCAAGTAATCCCCATTAGAGGTGCCACGTTGTTTGTCTGTAACTCTCACTGTACACGAGGCAGGTATAGCGTAAAAATGTCAAAACGTCTGCTTAAAAATAACTTCATTTTTGCTTCAGAAATAAGCCAGGAGAAGGAAGAAGAATTGAAATCCAACCAATTTATTTTTAAGAATGCTTGCAAAGTTTTCATCTGCTGTTGAGTCTCTTCAACCAAAAGCTAAACAAGTTTGTGCAGGCAGATAAGACCTTTAGCATAATTTATAAGTGGTTTCATGCAAAAACCCTCCAGCCATCTTATCACTCATCATCTTTTAATAACAAAACTGGAATGTTACTCTGTATTTGGTTAAGAAGACTTGAAGATGGTTTTCTCAATGCTTTAAACATTTGAGGCTGTGTGTAAGTGAAATGTGTGAAAGAAATGACTTCTTTGCCTCAGAAGTGATTCATTTAAAGAAAGAAGACAAAAATTAGTGTGTGTAGCACATCACTGAGTACCCCACATGGGATGTCCGCACACTGATCGAGTGCCAGGGTTCAAGTCCTGGCTCCACTCCCAATTCCAGCTTCCTGCTCACCTTCTCCCTTTCAAATAAATATAAATTGATTATATTTTTAAAAACCACACACACACACACACACACACGCATACTCCCTCCCCTCTAGGATACTAGTGAGCACTTCCAATTTCTTGCCAACCTGTTGCCTTATTCTCATATGGAGATATTGGCTTCATTCACACATTAGAATCATTTGAAATAATAATGGAGAATCATATGGTCTTCAGTAGGAATTCTCATTTACAATGCTTTTAGTCTTCATGTTGGAATAATATAGAAGCAGTAGATTAAATGTTTGATCAAAACTCATTTTTTTAAATATGTATTTATTTTAAATTCAGAATTACACAGAGAGAGAAGGAGAGGCAGAAAGAGAGAGAGAGAGAGAGAGAGAGAGAGAGAGAGAGAGAGAGAGAGGTCTTCCATTCGCTGGTTCACTCCCCAATTGGCCACAACGGCTGGAGCTGCAATGATTCGAAGCCAGGAGCCAGAAGCTTCTTCCAGGTCTCCCTTGGGTGCAGGGACCCAAACTTGGGCCATCTTCTTCTGCTTTCCCAGGCCATAGCAGAGAGCTGGATTGGAAGAGGAGCAGCCAGGACTTGAACCAGTGCCCAAATGGGATGCCAGTACTGCAGGCAGCAGCTTTACCCACTACACCACAGTGCCGGCCCCAATCTGGGGTCATTTTTAAAGACAGATTCTCTAATTGAGAATTAAAGGAACTCACACAGTCAATGTCTTTTATTTTTCCAGGGAACTATAAACAACCTTTTGCATTCAAATTGTTGCCTCTCTGTCTTTGTGATAACCCAAGCAAATATCACCACACAAGTCCTAGGTGCTCATTTTAACTAAAAGATCAACAAGTAACATTGTAGAAAGAACACAGTGTTAAGAAAAAGCCTGAAGGGGCCAGCAGTGTGGCACAACATGTTAAGGCATTGCCTATGACACCAGCATCTCATATATAGGTACCAGTTTCTGCTCTGAATGCACTACTTCCAATCCAGCTCCCTGCTAATGCACCTGGGAAAGTAGCAAAGGATGGCCCAAGTCCTTGGGCCCCTTGGACCCATGTGGGATACCTGGCTGGAGTCCCAGGCTCCTGGCTTTGGCCTGGCTCCTCAGGAACAACCCTGTGCTTCATACAACCCTTGTCTGTTCCAAGAAATAGCCTTCTTAAAATTAATCAGAAACCTTTTCAGTAGCCTTCTTTCAAAGACAATGTTTGCGGGACCGGCACTGTGGCATAGTAGGTTAAGCCTCTGCCTGCGGCACTGGCATCCCATATGGGTGCCTGTTCAAATTCCAGCTGCTCCACTTCTGATCCAGCTCTCTTCTATAGCCTGGGAAAGCAGTAGAAGATAGCCCAAACACTTGGGCCCCTGCACCCATGTGAGAGACCCGGAAGAAGCTTCTGGCTCCTGGCTTTGGATTGGCACAGCTCCAGCTGGTGCAGCCATTTGGAGAGTGAACCAGTGCATGGTAGACCTTTCTCTCTGTCTCTCCCTTTCTCTGTTTTTAACTCTACCTCTCAAATAAATAAATAAATCTTTAAAAAGACCAAAGGCAATGTTTGTAACCAATTATGTTCTTTTTTTTTTTTTTTGACAGGCAGAGTAGACAGTGAGAGAGACAGAGAGAAAGATCTTCCTTTTTCCGTTGGTTCACCCCTCAATGGCTGCTGCAGCCAGTGCACCGTGCTGATGCAAAGCCAGGAGCCAGGTGCCTACCCCTGGTCTCCCATGCGGGCCACAGCAGAGAGCTGGCCTGGAAGAAGGGCAACCAGGACAGAATCCGGCGCCCCAACTGGGACTAGAACCCGGTGTGCCGGCGCCGCAGGTGGAGGATTAGCCTATTGAGCCGTGGCGCGCTGGCCCCAATTATATTCTAAAGAAAGTATTCACCAACCTGTGAGAAATTTGTTCCCACTTCCCTGAAGCCCACCTGTTTGGGCCAAGCCAATATTTATTCCCACTATAATGATAAATAAAAATTTGCCATCGTGGAATAAATCCTGACTCAACTCTGGCCACTTTGGGTACTTCCCAAGACTCATTAGAAGCATTTGGTTTATGCCTCCCAGACCTGGATCGCTCATTCTTCCCTGGATAAACCTTAAATCTACCTTTTGTCAGAGCCCGTTGACTGCTGTTGACACGTCGTAGTAACTGGTTACCTTTTTCAGCCCCCCTTTTCATTTTATCACTAAAAATGGCTAATAGCTACCACTGAGTGTCCTTCTTATTTTATATTTGAGGGCTAAATCAATAGCATTTGCTCAAAGGTTTTGAATTACAAGTATTACTGCTTTAAATACAGCTTATGTATTGTAGGTATATACAATAAGGAAAGAGCATAAAATCCATAATTATAGAGATTTTATTTTATGAGGAAAATATCTGAGCTTCCCGTATGTATTTTTCCCTCATGCTGCCTTCCATTTACCATGGAACTGTTGATTGGTTATTCTGTGTCAAATGGTATAATAAATACACACAGCTTCAATCTTCAGCTCCCTCTAAGACTAACTCCAGAAGAGCTGCAAGACCAGTAGTAAGGGCATGTTTTGGCTACAGTAACGTGGTATGGATATATATGTTTTTAAGAATAAAAACCAGGGCAGATATTATGGCACAATGGGCTCAACTGCTTCTTGACACCAACATCCCACACTGGAGTGCCTGGGTTCAAGACCAAACTCCGTTCCCAGCCCGCATTCCTGCTGCCATCTGTTCTGAGAGGCGGCCGATGATGCCTCAAGCACTGGGGAACCCTGCTACACGTGTCGGAGACCTGCGTGCAGCTTCTGCTTTACAGTCTTGGCTGAGGAGTGCGTCTAGTGAGGGAAGGACTCGGCGCGCCTTCCCCCTACCCCTTCCTCCCTTTATGGAGATCCTTGGTGCCTGCCCTGACCCTTCTCAACTCCTTGCAGTGCAAATGGCAAAGCAGATAAGCTGCAACAGGGCAGCTATGAAACAGATAAGAGGAAAGTTCCCTGAGGCTTCAAACAGCCCCCTGCTCTTCTGCCAGCTGCCTTCTAGCCCCTGCCCCTGGTACTGGCACATTCCCTCCTTAGCTGGAGAAAAACTCAGTTCTAAACGTGCTCTGTGTGCAGTCTGTTCGCAAGAATAGACTGCTGCCAGCCTCTTTGCTTCAAATAAAGCAACTTGTCTGGGGGTACAAAAGGCCAGAACCCAGAGCTATTCCATACCTAGCAGGGAGTGGACCAGCAGATGGAAGATTCTCTCTCTCTTTCTCTCTCTCTCTCTCTCTCAAATAACTACAAAATAAACATTTTTAAATAAAAATGCCCAGGTAGGCAGGAAAAGAATTTCCATTGTATAACAAATCAGTGGTGGGAAGGAGTAGGAGGCAGGTAGAACCTAAGAATGTGAGGATACTCAGAAGTTTCTAGCCTCCGAGACTGGAGAAATAATAGTGCCATTTCCAGAAACACAGGCTGTAGAGTGATGAGCGGTGGGTTTTTGGATCTATTACATTTTGGGTTTCTTCATGGTATTCAGAGACATCTTAAGGAAAATAGGAGTCTGAAGCTGAGGGAAGAGATAATGTTATAGAAGCTGAGACAAGATATTATTGTGAAATTCTGTTGATAACTGTTTTTGAATTCCTGGAATCCTGTCGCCCTGCCCTCCCCCCAGCCAGGAAGTGTGAAGCTCTCTGTCTCACCGCCCTCAGGGTATGGCTGTTACTATAGAAATGAAAAGAGAAAGATGACTCAATGTTCAGTTTGTATGTTTCAAAATACAGCTTTGAATCTCCTGGCAAAGAAAACAAGTTGGGAGAAAAGGTGTGTGTGTGTGTGTGTGTGTGTGTGTGTCTCAAAAGCCTGGATTTTGAGTATCAAAAGCCAAAGTTGAATCCATAAGCAACAGATTTCAGTAGAGTGGCTGATGGTGAAAGAGCCAGTATCCCCGCTGGAAGCAAGGTAGAGATGAGGGTCTCTGAGCAGGGCCTCCCCTCCCTGCCTCCATCCTCACTGCTGAGACTCATGGGGCACAACCATGGGATTCTCTAACAACTGTGGAGACCTAGAGGAAATGCGGTGTGTTCCACCTGCTGTCAGCAGCCCAGCTATTCCCCTCTGTTTGCACCATCTCGCAGCCGTGGCTGCCGTACAAGTGACCATGTGATTGACAGAGTATGGCTCTTATTATCATTCATGTTTACTTATTTACTTATTGATTTCCCTACAGGTGACCGATTTTCAGTTGCTGCTGTCACCCCTCCACCAAGTGGATCCTTGCTGAACACACACTGGCCTCATCACACACACAGGTGCCCTGTGTCTAGCTGACTCTCTCTTAGGGGTACCTGCATCTCCTGGGGATGCCCACCTCAACCTGTTAAGACCCCACACCCCAATTCCCACTGCCTACCTCCATGTAGACTAGTTCATTTTCTCCCCACACTTCTGTGAGAAGCCAGAGTTAACACTCATCTTACCAAAGTAGGATTTGTATCAAGAATATGTAAACAAGATGGGCGTTTAGCCTAGCAATGAAGATGCCAGCGAAGACCCCCATTGTATCATATCGGTGCTCTCGTCCCAAGTCAGTGTCAGGGTCCCACTGCCAGCTTCAGCTCCTGACTCCTTTCCTGCTGATACAGACCCGGGGTGGCAGCAGGGATGGCTCAAGTGACAGAGTTCCTGACATCCATGTGGGAGACCTGGATTGAGTTCCTGGCTCCCAGCCTTGGTCTCAGTGAGGGGGCCCTTGAGAGCAGTTGGGGAGTCAACAGTGGATAGGAGCGCGCGCTCTCTCTCTCTCTGCCTTTCAAAAAATTAATAATAAAAAGAATATATCAATACCGAGGAAGATGGTGCAAGACAAACAACTCAAAAAGGAAAAAAGACTTGGGGTCCGGAACTGTGGCGTAGCAGCTAAAGCTTGCTGCCTGCAGTGCTGGCATCCCATATGGGCATCGGTTTGAGTCCTGGCTGCTCCACTTCTGATCCAGCTCTCTGCTATGCCTGGGAAAGCAATGGAAGATGGTACATGTGCTTGGGCCCCTGCACCTGCATAGGAAAACTGGAGAAAGCTCCTGGCTCCTGGCTTCAGATCGGCACAGCTCTGGCCGTTGCGGCCAGTTAGGAAGAGAACCAGCGATGGATGACCTCTTTCTCTCTGCCTCTCCTTTCCTCTCTGCATAACTCTGACTTTCAAATAAATCAATAAATCTTTAAAAAAAGAAGAAAAAAAGACTTGAATAAGCAATTTTAGAAAAGAAAATAAAAATAATATATATGAAAATTTGCTCAACCTCATTAAAAACTAGTAAAATGCAAATTCAAATCAAAGTGAGAAATCAATTTATAGTTACAAGAGTAAGAAAACAATTGAGTGTAGGCAAATAGGAACAGCACTGAGGACTTTTCAAGCTATGAGTGGGAATGTAAGCTTATATACTCCTTTGGAGGAGACTTTGACATTATACAAAAATGTGCTTTTTAGACTCAGCTATAAAAACCATTCTTAAGACAGGTACCCTGGAGAAGCTCTTCTACATTCATTCCAAGAAACCTGTGTATCAGTGTTTACAGAGGCGTTATTTGTATTAGCACACAAAAAGAAATCCCAAAACAGTTAGATCTCTAAACACTTTGTAAAGAATGAAATATTGCTTCTCACTGCTCAGAATGTGAAGTGCAAATTACTAAATATGGTATGGAAAAGAAGGTTCAAACAAAAATCATTGTTCTGTATTTGGGGTACAGATGGGGCAAAGTTTTATATTTACTTCATTTTTTTAAAGATGTAGGTATTTGAAAGACAGAGTTACAGAGAGGCAGAGGCAGAGAGAGGTCTTCCATCTGCTGGTTCACTCTGATACAGGCTGGCAGATAGTCTCAATTTGATGAGATTTGTAAGCTGATCAATTTTGTGCCAGTATTCAGAATTCTTTGAATAGATGGCAAGAACCCACAGGAAAATTACTGAGCTGGATGATATCAACTCCCCAGATGGCTGCATCGGTGAGGAGGGAGGGAGAGCGAGAGAACAAGAGAGGAGCCTTCCATCCACTGGTTCACTCCCCAGGTGGCTGCAAAGGCCGGAGCTGGGCCCATCTGAAGCCAGGAGTCAGAAGCTTCTTCCTGGTCTCCCACATGGGTGCAGGGGCCCAAGCACTTGAACCATCTTCTAGTGCTTTCCCAGGCCATAGCAGAAAGCGGGATCAGAAGTAGAGCAGCTGGGAGTTGAACAGGTGCCCATATGGAACAGCAGCGTTGCTGATGGTGGCTTTACCCACTATGCCACTGTGCCGGCACCTACTTCATTTTTTAAAAAAAGGAAAATAGGTAGCAGGTGAAGCCTCTGCCTGCAGCGCTGGCATCCCCTATGGGTACAAGTTTGTATCCCAGCTTCTCCACTTACAATCCAGCTCCCTGCTAATGTGCCTGGAAAAGCAGTGGAAGATGGTTCAAGTCTTTGGGCCCCCACACCCACATGGGAGACCTGGAAGAAGCTCCTGGCTCCTGGCTTTGGATCGCTGCAGCTTTGGCCATTACAGCCATTGGAGAGTGAACTGGAGGATGGAAGACCTCCCTCTTTGCCTCTCTCTCTGTCTTTCTCTAACTCTGCCTCTCAAATAAACAAATTTTTTTAAAAAATGTAAAATGGGGTGACTCTTTGAACACTAAAATTCAAATTGATATTTTTCTCTTTACCCACTATGCCACAGTGCCAACCCCTGATATTTTTCTCTTTAAAGATAATGTACCTTTGAGCAAGTATTAGCAGTCTTTTATCTCTTTTATCTCAACTGATACCACTTTTATCTCAACTGATACAATCTGAACCAACATTAAATTTCACACATACCATTGTTATTTATCTAAACAATGTGCTGCAAATATTTAAAACAGCTAAACCATATAAGAGATCTTTCAAATTGAAAACAAAAAGAACACCCAAGGTCCAACATCAGAAGAACGACTGTTATATTCATCCAATAGAATACTTTTTAAAGATTTATTTATTTATTTGAAAGTTGGAGTCACACAGAGAGAAAAGGAGAGGCAGAGAGAGAGAGTGAGGTCCTCCATCTGTTGGTCCACTCCCTAATTGGCTGCAATGGCTGGAGATGCACCCATCCGAAGCCATGAGCCAGGAGCTTCCTCTGGGTCTCCTACATGGGTGCAGGGGCCCAAGGGCTTGGGCCATCCTCCACTGCTTTCCCAGCCACAGCAGAGAGCTGGATGGGAAGTGGAGCAGCCGGAACTCGAACTGTGCCCATATGGGATGCCAGCACTGTAGGTGTCAGCTTCACCTGCTACACCACAGTGCCAGCCCCATCCAATAGAATATTACACAGCAGTGAAAAAATCAGTTACAACACAACTCACATGAATTGACCCCCAAAATAGGATGTCAAGCTAAGAAAACGCAAGGCACTTTACGATTTCATTTATATGAAGTTCCAAGAAGCAAAAATGAGCAATGTGTTTAGAAAGACCCACACATGTGGTAAACAATTTTTTTCAAGATTATTTATTTGAAAGGCAGAGAAAGAGAGGGAGGGAGGAGGAGGCCGGGGAGAGAAAGATTGATCTCTACCACTGGCTCACTCCCCACATGCCCACAACTGTCCAAGCCAGGAGCCCAGAACTCTTTCCAGGCATCTCATGTGGGTGACACAGCAGTTAAGAACTGCTTGGAATGCCGACCCCTCATTTCAGAGTGCCTGGGATTGAGTCCTGCCTCCTCCTCTGACCCAGCTCCCTGCTAATGCACTTCAGAAGGCAGCAGATGATGACCCTAGAGCTTCTGGAAGGCACCTGGGAGAGACATGGGTGGAGTTCTGAGCTCCTGGTTTTGACCTGTGCCAGCCTCAGCTGTTGCAGGCACTTGGCGAGTGAACCAGCCGATGGGAGATTTTGCTCTTCATCCCTCCCTCGTTTTGTCAGTCTGCCTTTCAAATAAAGGGAAAGCTTGTGGAATATGAAATGAAAAGATGCTTATGTTAAAAATTAAGAAAAATGGTAAATGGAATTCAGAATTGGAGTTATCTCTTGGGAGTCAGGAAACAGGTTGAATAGGAGGGTAGAGAGGAGGCAAAAACGGTTTGGGTAATATTCTCTTAACAGTGAGTGATAGATACACAAGGTACATTTTATTGTTATTTTTTATACCTTACATATTTTTATACTCTTTTGTATGTACTCAAAATGTACATTTCAGGGGCCTGCATCATGGTGCAGTTGGTTAAGCAGCTGCCTGTGATAATGGCATCCCTTATGGGCACTAGTTTGAGTCCTGGCTGTTCCACTTCCCATCCAGCTCCCTGCCAATGCACCTGGGAAAGCAGCAGCAGATGGCACAAATATGTGGGCCCTGGCACCTACATGGGACACTCGGATGGAGCTCCAGGCTCCTGACTTTGGCCTGGTCCAGCTCTAACCATTGTGGCCATTTGGGGAACGAACCAGTGCATGAAGGGAGTGTAGGTTCAAGATAAAAGATAAAATAGTGATGCCATTGGCACTGTCTGAATTACCTGTGCTCTGGGGATTAGTCCTAGCAGAGCTATGAGGCTTGGAGCAAACTCTACACACAGTATCCCATTCCTCTTACATAGTTATGCAGTTACTGGATGGTTGGTTATTGGACCACCAGCTGACACACCTCCAGTATCCGAATTTCATGTTAATTTCAGGTGCCAGCTGCACAGGGCCCAGCCTGGCTGAGATAATTGCTCTAGTTCATCACATATCTATTATTTATTTATTTATTTATTTACAGGCAGAGTGGACAGTGAGAGAGAGAGACAGAGAGAAAGGTCTTCCTTTGCTGTTGGTTCACCCTCCAATGGCCGCTGCGGCCGGCGCACCGCGCTGATCTGATGGCAGGAGCCAGGTACTTCTGGTCTCCCATGGGGTGCAGGGCCCAAGTACTTGGGCCATCCTCCACTGCACTCCCTGGCCACAGCAGAGAGCTGGCCTGGAACAGGGGCAACCGGGACAGAATCTGGCGCCCCAACCGGGACTAGAACCCGGTGTGCCGGCGCCGCAAGGCGTAGGATTAGCCTAGTGAGCCGCGGCGCCAGCCCATCATATATCAGTAGTAGTCTGTTTAATTTTTCATTATGATTTTGGATCTAGACAGACAGAAAACAGATTAATGATAGTTGGAATTGTTTTCACTACTACCTATTTGCTGTATCAAGTGCTTTATAATCTCTCGGGGATTGATTTCATTGCCAATTTTAGGCCGCATATATACTTGTGGATTCATTAACTGTTGGTAACAGCAAGGTAAGCTGTTTCTCTATCTCTTTGTAATTATGCCCTGAAATGACATGAATGGCTTACTTAAATGTAAAAAACATGTATCATGAGAAATTGGGGGAAAATATTCCCAAATTAAAGGGGCACACACTATTTTCAGATTACTTTATTTGTGACACCCCCTCACACACACACCACATTGTTATGTGACAGTTTCTAAAACTGAAGGTAATACTGTGGCTTTTTAAATTTAGATAAACAATTCCTGACATCCTAGACTTTTCACTCATTTATTTAAATATCTCCTCTTTCCTGCAATACACATAACATTTGGAGTGTGTATTAACAGAATTCAGATAATATGAAACAGACCTTGCCAAACATAAAGTACAAAATCTTACATAAGCTGTAATACAGGCTGCAGTATTGCTCCCACCTATTGGCATCTTGAGCCACTAGGAATCTTTCCAGCATACTTGGAATTCTTTAAGGAAAATTATGTTTTTGGGGCCTGACACTGTGGTGTAGTAGGTTAAGCCTCCGCTTGAGCCACAAGCATCCCATATAGGCACCGGTTCGAGTCCTGCTGCTCCTCTTCTGCTCCAGCTCTCTGCTGTGGCCTGGGAAAGCAGTGGAGAATGGCCCAAGTGCTTGGGCCCCTGCATCCATGTGGGAGACCAGGAAGAAGCTCCTGGCTGCTGGCTGCGGATCAGGTCAGCTCCCATCTTTGTGGCCATTTCGGGAGTGAACCAGCAGATGGAAGACCTTTCTGTCCCTCCTTCTCTCTGTTACTCTGCCTCTCAAATAAATACATCTTAAAAAATAAAAATTTTGTTTTGGGATTGTAGGGTTTTGAAAACTTCCACTGTACAAACATGAACAAGAGTTTCTATTTCCCCCATTCCCTTCTATAGGCGCTTTATTCCGTGGGGGCTTCCTGCGATTGTGAAACTCTAAAACCCATCAGACACGGATATTCAAAAATCCTCATCATTCCCTCGCACAGGTTTTCTAGCGCATTTACTCCCCCACGCCCTTCCAGTCACCGCTTAGCTAAGCGGGCTTACAGGGTTAAGTCTAAGAGCTGGATAGACAAGAACCCTGGACAGCAGACGGCTTAGGATCTGGCTCAGGGGTTACAAACCACAGCGAAACCACCTCAGGCGCCAGGTCCCAGACTGATGGGGTCCCTTGGAGGCTGCCCTCTTGCTGCCACGCTCGCGCGGGGCTTTCCCCGGCGGCGCCCAGGTCCAGCTGCTGTTGGAATGGGCATCCCAAGCCAAGAAGCAAGTGCTGGGGTTTCCAGTCGGGGCTTTAGACAGAAGCCACGCGTGTCTGTTCCCGGGTGTTTACTCCGAGGCCGCGTTCTGGTGGGCTCCCGGCGAGACCTGCGGCTTGGGAAAACCGCAGCTTCTTTTCGCTGGGGAGGGTCCACGCTCCCAGGCCTCCCCCGGCTACCCCACGCGTGAGCCCACCGCGCGCGCTCCTCTGGCCGAGGTCCACAGCGCCCTCTCCCCTGCCACGCGCGCCGCCGCCGGCCCTTTCCCGCCGCGCGGTCTCGTGCCGCCAGCGCGCGCCCGCCGGGGGCGGTACTGCTGCCGCGGGGCGAGCGCCGCCTCCTCTTCCTCCAACTCCTCCCCGCCTCCTGCCCCTTCTCCTCCTCCTCCTCCTCACTACGGTTCCCAGCCCTGGGCGGGGGCGAGCGCGTCCGGTTTGCGGGAAGCTTTCGGAAATGGCAACTAGCGCGGTGGAGGTGTTCGGGCTCCTGGAGGACGAGGTGCGGGGGCCGCGGGACTGCGGGGCCGCGAGGCTGCGGGGCGGGCTTCCCAGGGCGCCGTCCATCATCCGGACCCGCGGAGGCAGGGCGGCGCCGGCGGCTCCGGCCAGGGGCGCTGCCGTCCGCGCCCCCCGTGCCTGCGCGAGCCCGGGCGGCGGCGCGCGGGCCGGCTCGGGGGACTCTGCGGGCTGCCCCACCCCGGCTCCCCTGGGCAGCCGCCTGCCTTGTCAGTTTCCTCCAGGAAGTGTGCAGCGGCGGGGGCTCGGCGGCGAGCGGGCCGCGTGCGCGCGGGGACCACAGCGCCCCGCCAGCCCCTTCCTGCCGCCCCCGCCCCGGGTGCGGGAGCTCCCCGGGGGCGGGGCGAGTTTCCCTGCAGCTCAGCATCCCCGCGGCGGAAGAGCGTGTTGGGGCGCGGGCCGGCCAGACTGAACTTTACAGACTTGGGTTTGGAGACTTCCAAGCTGGTTTTTTTTTTTTTTTTTTTTTTTTTTTTTTTGTATTTTCCCCTCCCTTCTTATCTGAAAAATCCTCTTTCAGTCTCCTGACCGGAGTCGGGCATGGAGAGCTGGCAGATAGCGTTTCCTGCGCGCCTTCAGCAACAAGTGTGGGGAGTTCATGCCTTGTTTCTCCGCTCTTGGTTGCTGTTAAATAACAGCCGGACAAAAAGAGAGATACTTTAAAAGAACTTCCCACGACTGTTCCTTCTGAGAACTAAACTCTGGAGTGCCGCGATTTGAGGCGTGTGTCCGCAGCTCAGTGGCTTATGCTGATTGTCCCTTGCCCTTCTTGCAAGGAAGGCGTTTTGGAGATGAGATATGGCTTCCCTATGTTCTTGGAGATTGTCTCTAAACTGGGGATGGGTGGAGAATGAAAAGGCTGTGTGTTCAGTGACTGATACAGGCTAGGAAAACAATTAAATCTATTCGTTCCTGCTGGCTGATTAAGCCTCACGTGCACCTGTTCTCAACATGAGACCACCCCCCCCCACACACACACCACACCCCCCCAGTTAATTGGAAAGCCATCGCCTTATTGCTTTGCTTAGTTGTCTTCTGATAGGGTCTGCACAGTGGCTTCTCTTGGAAATGTAATGTCTTCAGAAGTCTTGAACTTCTCTTGAGAGTTCTTGGTTCATGAACAGTGGGCAGTTAGTGAATGCACGCAAGTTAACTTGGTGTGTTGAGAATGCTTATGGGATGTGATTAGAATTTAGTTTCCTAGTTACTGCTGTCGGAAGAGAAGCCAAGCAGGGCTGGGTAGATGGTGACAGCTCTGCTGTCCCTCAGAAACAATGGTGTTAGAGCTAAAGATAACATTCCAGGGAATGGCCCTACTACTGCCCTGAAAAGGCCACCTGGAAGAGAGAATGTCGCATGGCACCTGTGGTAGCTTTCTTCCTGTGAGCAGATCCCCAGCCATGTAACTGCCGATGCAGAGAGCTTCAGGCTGGCTTTGGACTTGGATTTCCCTGCTGTTGTTAAGCAGGCCTTGTGTTCTGAATTTCCCATCTCACCCCTCCAGCGGAGCCGATTGAGCATGGCACACAGGAAAGCTGTCCTTCTCCCTGTCTTCTCTTTCTAAGACAGGATCCTGGTTTCCAAGTTGTCTGCCTCTTGCATCACCCCTCTACCCAGTTGAAATAAAGCTACTTGCGGCAGTAGGCAATGAGGGCTGAAGACCAGAAGCTGCACCCTTTGAAATGTGGAGTTCCCGGGCTGGCTAAAGGGTTGGTACTTCTAGAGAGTTTCCTGGGGCCGCCTACCCTGTTTGTGTGTTGAGGGTCTTGGTGTAGATGTGTGACTCGTGTTTCTTCTCATCTCCCAAGGTCTACCTTGTCCATATCCAGCAAGAGAGTGGGGTAGGATGGGAGGCGTGATGTTTTAATTGTGTTATTAATTCAGTAGAGGTTAATTAACTGCTCTGTGTCTTGTATTCTGCTAGGTACCAGGGATACAGAGAAAAAAAGATGGCCTCAGCCTTTAAGGAGCTCACCACCTGCTAGAAAAGACAAGAATCGCTTGTCTTATGGTAGTGGTTGCCATCCCACGTGTATCACTTGCTGTTTATTTACAGGTCCTTCACACAAGTAACAGAAGGCTTGGAAAACTCTTAACCTAACCCTCTTTGCAAAAAACACCATTGTAGATATGTTGTTTCTAAAGCTCACAGAATAGTCCCGGGATAGGACTAACAGCCCTCTGCTGTTGATGACAAGTAGCTTTTCCGTTGCAGCCCAAAGAGGGGATTCTTACCCTAAACTTGAGATTGAAACAAGGAGAACAATGTGTAGAATCAGATAAAAGATAGGAAATTGTAAACCGTATATAGTGAATAGCCACTGAGTCACACTGTGGGAGCCTGTTAGTGTTAAGGATGCTGAAGTTGATATCATAATACCCTCTTCCCACTTTTCAGTGAGAGTGAGCTCTTCTGTGTGTAAGTGGACTTCCATGAAGATGGCCCTGGCTCTGGGTGCACCATTTCGCATGAATGCATGAACAAACCAAGGAAGAAGTGTAATGTAATGTGTACCAAATTGGCTCTGACAGTCTCTTGGGGTTGACAGTAGGGAAGACTCTCCCGAATTGTTGGTGGGGGATACAGATTCTGGGAAGAAAGCTCCTAAACCTTCATGTGCCACCCACAAAGAAGGAGCAGCCTGGTTGAGGTGCATCTGTGTTAGTAATCATCCCAACCTCTGATGGGCTGTTATGCCACTACTGCTTTTTTGTAGTTCTTTAGCTTCAGGACCATTCTCAAGTATTTTTCCTAAGTCTCCATGGGACTAAAGAAGCGTGTAAATACTACAGCTTTGTTTTTTAATAATTTATTGTAAAATTATTGAAACCAACAGAATCATTGAAATTGCTGCATAAAGAACTCAGGAACCTTCTCGTGCAGAGTCTCCCAATGTTAACATCTCACCACAGTTGCTCCATGACCTCTTGTGTTGTTTTGCCATTTTAATCATTCTTTCTCTGAACTATTTGGAGGCAAGCGACAGACAGTGTCCCGTCCTC